CAAAAGTCTTCCATATCTTCCGTTTTGACATGTTTGAGTGCAAAACAGGTTTTTATAGGTTAAATAATATATTACATTTTGAAAATGCAATTGGACCTGTAGATATCACACAGTATGTAGTAGTTATTGCCTGTTTCCATCTTTACAAAAGTCAACAAATTTCCTACTGCATAACACATTCATTATTAAATGAATTAAGATATTGATGTAAAAATTAACATTTGAAGTAGAAATCACAAGGCAAACGGATAAATACACAAATAAAATACATATATGGGAGCTGTGTTAGATTACGCTAGGTCACCTTCCTGCCCCCCCCCACCTGGACAGTGATTGAACAGCAGCAAACCAATGAGGTCATTTCTCTCACCTCCTGTCAGCTTGTCCTTTGTCTACACATAACAGCATCATCTCTGATTCTTCTTGTGTGCTCCATTGCATGTACTCATCAAAGAGTCATTAACCCTGAAATGTTGAAGTTAGCCTCACTTTCTGTGCCTATTAGGCCAATGCATGCATCTTACATTACAATATGTATTGTTATCTACACCTGCACATTGCACATTGCAATCTTCCTTGGTCTGGATGTTTGAGATACATGGATTATGCAATGCAAAGAAAAACAGAAAATACTTGTCCAGGCTCCAGAACTCCTGGTTCATGGTAAAGACTTTAATCGACTTTCCTTTTAACTTCATTTTGGCATTTAATGAAAAATGTATTTGGACATTTAATAAAACATTTTAGGAAGATTTCTACCAAAAACTAGTTAAGGCATTATGGATGCAGGAATAAGATCACAGCCTACACAAAGTTGTAGTAACCACATTGTAGTCAGTAAGCCGAGCACAAAGAAGAAGATGGCAGGGACACATTTAGATAAATAGGCCAAAAAATTCAGAGTGGTGGAGATTCTCAAATATTTTGCAGTGCTTTTGCAGTGCTGGTTCCATTATTGCTCTGCTATATAAGTACATATCTTAAGTTTAATACATAAAGTTCCTTGTCAATTTATCTTTGACTTTTTCCTGATGTCTACCTGGAAATGTAAGTAGCTATATACACTTTTGCCTCTTGGTATTCAAATGTAACTGATTATATGATGTTGCATGCAAACGAGCCAATTCCACAATCACTGTCTGATTCATGATGTAAAATTGCTTAAAAATCACATCCAAATCACAGCCAGAGAGAGCTTTGATAGCAAGAAATACGTGGAATTCATCTAAAGATGATGATTATTATTAGTCAGAGTTATATATGCAAAACAAATTCATCTTCCTTCATTTATATTCCCCAGTTTATGATTTCAATTGTGAGTGTAGAAATTACAATGTATGCAGCCTTACAAAGTATGGATAAAGGCAAACTTCCCCAATTCAATTGCTTTTGGTATGTACGTTTTAAAAATGTTATCTGGTACTTTATATTAATGAAAGCATTGATATAAAAAATCTTTACACATATACAGTACTACAGATATGCAAATTGCATTGTAGTCACTTCAATATAAAGATCAGAGTTTATCTGACAGGCAGATAGGGTTGGTAATTAATCAGAAATCGTGTAACCTTTCACACACAAACATGGTTAGTTTAAAAATAATAATACATGGTAAAAATATTTAGATTACAATAACATTTATAAAAACCAATAAAACTAAGAATCTAAGATTCTGAAAATACATATGAGAGTTTTCATGACCTTAAGTTCTTGGTTTTATAATTTATTCCTTGATTTTTTTAAATATATATTACTTTTCTTCAGTGGCGTCGCTACAGGGGGGCAAGGGAGGGCAATTTGCAGGACAGTCTTAATCCACTGGGATGCTTCTGGCACTGGAACAGAATACTTCAGCTACTCCCCTACTGACTGCAACATATTAATCTCTTATGGAGCCTTTATGGACCCCACTCCACTTCCATCAACTTGCTCTCCTTCCAGGTGAGCAGGGGCGGACTGACCATTTGGAAACTTGGGCACTGCCCGAGGGCCCGGGGTCAGTAGGGGGCCCCATGAGCTGCCCCTGGTACCTTTTTTATAGGCTTTTAGGAGCAAGGACACAGGGGCCCCATGATCCCTTATTGCCCAGGGGCCCCATGAGTTGTCAGTCCGCCCCTGCAGGTGAGTTACTTTTACTTATTCCTGCTACACTGGCTCACCCCCTGCTTCATTTCTTCCCCCTCTGTCTACACTTTCAATATGCACTCCTCCTCCTCCCCTCTCCACTGTTAACTTTATGCCCTCTGCTGATTTTTCGGATTCTTCTTCTGCCTGCTCTCCCCTCCATAAATCTGTATTACAAACATAGCTGCAGCCCCGTCTCATCTCTGGGCATTCCACACTAATCCACACATCCATCTCTCTTGCACCCTTTCTATCCCTTATTATCTCTTCTGTCTTTCAGCCTAGCACATTCTTTACAGCTCTTTAACCACTTCAGCTTCAGAAGGTTTTACCTGCATGACCAGGTTGTTTTTTTCTATGCGGCACTGTGCTACTTTAACTGATAGTTTGGGCACATTATAATTGCGCGTTCATGCAATGCTGTGCCCAAACTAATTTTATATAATTTCTTCACACAAATAAAGCTTTCTTTTGGTGGTATTTGATCACCTCTGAGTTTTTTAGTTTTTATTTTATAAATGAAAAAAGATCATTTTGAAAAAAAAAAAACATTATTTTTTTACTTTCTGCTATAAAACATAACCCATAAAAAAATCAAATCTCTTAATAAATGTACGCCAAAATGTATTCTGCATTCAGCTTTGTTTACATTCTCATCTCCTGTAATATGCCTGCAGTACCTGACAATCTCCTGTAGTATGTCTGCAGTCTCTGCCCATCTCCTGTAGTATGTCTGCATTCTTTCACCATCTCCTGTATCATGTCTGCAGTCTCCAACCATCTCCTGTATAATGTCTGCAGTCTCTGACCATTTTCTATAGTATGTCTGCAGTCTCTGACCATCTCCTGTATCATGTCTGCAGTCTCTGACCATCTCCTATAGTATGCCTGCAGTCTCAGACCATCTCCTGTATCATGTCTGCAGTTTCTGACCATTTCCTATAGTATGTCTGCAGTCTCTGACCGTCTCCTGTATCATGTCTGCAGTCTCTGACCATCTCCTGTAGTATGTCTGCAGTTCTTCAAAAACTCAGCAGTTGACCATCACTGGTATGAAGTAATGGCTGCTCCCACCCCCAAAAAAAACAAAACACAACAGAGACCCCCGTCATAGCCGGCATCTTCCCCCTAGACAGAAAAAGACTCAATTCCGTTTGAAGTAGGTGGAAAGTGGCTGGCTGTGTAAAATTGGTACATGGTACTTAGAGGTCAATTCACTAAAGGTTATTGCATGAGTTAAGTCAGTCACATGACCACATATCACATGCGTTATTGAAAATGTCAATTCACTATTGATAGTATGTGGTATTTACTGAAAATAGCAAAAACACTCAGTGAATACCACATAAAAAGACCTTAAAGTCAATTCAGAAAATCAAAAAAATTAAATGTATGTGGTAATTAAGTAGTGGTCCAGGCATGCGGTATGTTCTGGTATCTGTCAGCTCTGTCATGGGATTTTAAGGAATGGGCGGCTGCCGAGCTCTTAACAACTTTTGAGTCATCAGCTGTCAGCGGGGTTCCCCACTGCCAGCTGTATATAAAAAAAAATTGCCGGCAATTAAAAAATAATTTAAAAAATGGCGTGGGGTCCTCCCTCCATCCATACTAAGCCCTTCGGGTCTGGTATGGGTTTTGAGGGGAACCCCCACACCAAATTTTTTTAAAAAGTGCCTTGGAGTCTGCCCCAAAATCCATACCAGACCCTTATCCAAGCATGCAGCCCAGCAGGTCAGGAAAGGGGAGGGGGGCGAGCGAGCACCCCCTTCCTGATCCATACTAGGCCACATGCCCCCTACATGGGGACAAGGTGCTTTGGGGGAGCCCCCCCCCCCTGCCCCAAGGCACCCCCCCATGTTGAAAGCATGTGGCCTGGTACAGTTCAGGAGGGTGGCACTCACTCGTCCCCCCCATTTCCTGACCTGCCGGGCTGCATGCTCGGATAAGGGTCTGGTATGGATTTTGGGGGGACACGATGCCGTGGAGGTTCCCCTCAAAACCCACACCAGACCCAAAGGGCTTGGCAGTGCCAACAATTCTTTTGACATTCAGCTGTCAGCGGGGAACCCCACTGACAGATGAAACATGAATGAATGTTTCACTACTAAAATACAGCAAATAACTTAATAACATAACTTATGTGATATTTTAGTAACCGCTCAGTAAATTTTCCCTGTTTGAGGTTCATGGTCAAACTTTCAGTAGGTTCAAATCTTCGACCGCAAACTGATAAGGGGGAGTTCAACCCATCACTACTCAGGAGCAGAAGAACTTATTTTCAGTTGTTCTTTGGTGGTAGCCTATGGCAATAACAAGAAACATACAGCTACATTTTGAAAAATTATATACCGTATTTTTCGCTCCATAAGACGCACCTGACCATAAGACGCACCTAGGTTTTAGAGGCAGAAAACAGGAAAAAAAAATTCTGAACTAATGGACTGCAGACATAGTACAGGAGATGACCAGAGACTGCGGACACAGTACAGGAGATGACCAGAGACTGCGGACACAGTTACAGGGATGACCAGAGACTGCGGGACACAGTTCAGGAGATGACCAGAGACTGCGGCCACAGTACAGGAGATGACCAGAGACTGCGGACACAGTACAGAAGATGACCAGAGACTGCGGACACAGTGCAGGGGATGACCAGAGACTGCGGACACAGTACAGGAGATGACAAGAGACTGCGGACACAGTACAGGGGATGACCAGAGACTGCGGACACAGTACAGGAGATGACAAGAGACTGCGGACACAGTACAGGAGATGACCAGAGACTGCGGACACGGTACAGGGATGACCAGAGACTGCGGACACAGTACAGGAGATGACAGAGACTGCAGACACAGTACAGGGATGACCAGAGACTGCGGACACAGTACAGGGATGACCAGAGACTGCGGACACAGTACAGGGATGACCAGAGACTGCGGACACAGTACAGGGATGACCAGAGACTGCGGACAGCACAGGGATGACCAGAGACTGCGGACAGCACAGGGGTGACCAGAGACTGCGGACACACAGGGATGACCACAATACAGGGATGACCAGAGACTGCGGACAGCACAGGGATGACCAGAGACTGCGGACAGCACAGGGGTGACCAGAGACTGCGGACACAGTACAGGGATGACCAGAGACTGCGGACAGCACAGGGATGACCAGAGACTGCGGACAGCACAGGGGTGACCAGAGACTGCGGACACAGTACAGGGATGACCAGAGACTGCGGACAGCACAGGGGATGACTGCTGACCTTTGGGGAGGGGGGGGAGCGGGTACCTGAATTTGACAGATACCCGCTCCCACTTCCGCGGAGTTGTTCTTTCATCTTACCTGTTCCTCTATCCAGCCGCGCGCTGTCTTCCCAGCTTCTGTAATAGCGCCCGGCATGACAGCCGGGTGCCCAGTGCGCATGAGCGAGAAACACTTGCGCTTTGTGATTGGTCCGGCGGCTTCTGGGATCTGTCATGTGTCCCAGGTGCCGCCTTACCATTCACAAAAAGCACCGCTTCCTGCGCATGCGCACTTGGCACCCGGCTGTCATGCCCACACTACAGAAGCCGGGAAGACCGCGCCGCTGGATAGAGGAACGGGTAAGATGAAAGAACAACTCCACGGAAGTGGGAGCGGGTATCTGTCAAATTCAGGTACCCGCTCCCCCCCTCCCCAAAGGTCAGCAGTCATCTCTATAAGGTCCCGCTGTAGAGCTGAGCTGCCGGCCCGGTATTCTGCATGGCGGCAGTGGAAATACCGGACCGGGCGCTCCATATTCGCTCCATAAGACGCACTGACATTTTCCCCCCTTTTTTGGGGGGAAAAAAGTGCGTCTTATGGTGCGAAAAATACGGTAGTTTTTACTATTTTGTGCCAGTTTAATTGCCGGCAATTTTTTTTTTTTTTTTTTTTACATTCATCTGTCATTGGGGAACCCTGATGACAGCTGAAACATTAACGCATGGTTTTCACTACTAAAATACTGCATGACTTGATAAAATAACTCATGTAGTATTTTAGTAGTGTTTTTTAGTGAATGCAAACTTTTTCTAAAAAACGCTGTGCGATATCTTACCACATACTCTGATGTGGTAAGATACCATTTAGTGAATTGTACCCTTAGTATTAGATAGTTACACACACAGACAAACAAACACTCAGGGTCTGTTTATTGGTCTTCATTAGTGGCATATTTAACATAGGGGATTATTTACACAGCCCTGGTGTTTTGCTAAAACTGCTTTATAGAGAAAATATTTTGAGAGTTTTCCTCTCTTTTGTATTGCCCTCCTCTCTTCTCTCTTATGTTTTCTCCTCTCTTATGTATTGCCTCTCTGAAGCAATACATAAGGAACAAAGGAAAACTCTTGAAAGCTTGCCGTAGGTTAGGTTAGTACAATAAATGTTATTATGTGTTAGGTTAGTACAATAGAAAGGTATCATTGCATATTGCATTACCCTCAGATTTTGTAATCTTATTTATATATACCTATTTAGTTTAATATGTTCAATGAATTCTATAATTGCTAAAGTAAACCTGTACTGGGGATATATGGAAGCTGCAATTGCTGACATTTCCTTCTGAAAATACTAGTTCCCTTGTGATGATGATATTGTTCCTCTAGTACTATTGTGATGGATTTGGTAAAATGCCTATTCTGTTTCCTGTTTAAAATATACATTTTATACATATTTTTTTTTATTCTTTTATACTTTTCATATTTCTAAATATATGTGTTGTATATTATATATATATATATATATATATATATATATATTTTTGTCTGCTGGGCTTTGCAGTCCTCCTTAACTTGTTTTTTTTCAGAGTGATGTTCTAACCCCTCCCTTCGCACTAAGAGGATTTTACTTAGACTTTGAGTATGTGAGGGGGAGTGAAAAAAAGATAACGGGCGAGAAGCAAGCTTCAAGTTTCTACATTTCTCCTATATTTCAGCCAAGCAAAATGTGCCTTTTAGAATGTGACTGTATTTACGTAATAGTGACGTATACTCTATTGTTTTCTATGCATAAAAGGTTAAGCACCGCCCTGCAATAAACAGAGATGAGATGATGTGAAAGTGGTTGTACTGGACAGTTGTCCGTGTAATTATTTTCCGGCGTGCACTCAATCCATATCTCAAAGTTAGGAACAGCAGTAGAAATCCTACCCTGAGCCCGACTGTGGTTCTCAAAACCTTTTTACTATCAGAGCTACTGGCCTGGAACTAGTATACAAATCTGAAGTTTTCACTTCACTGTGAGTTTTCTGATCCCAATGCTTGTTTCAGGTCAGTGTCTCAGAAAGTATGGAAGCCAGAGCAGCCAAGCAAGTAGTACTGAATTTTCAGAAAGAAAAAAAAATTTGCGAAAACATTAAAAATGTTTTGCAATGTATTTTTGTAGTTTAAAATGCTTTCTAGATTAATTTAATTGTTGTACTATTCAGTTTAAAAATAAAATGTTCTGGTTTCTTCCACTAAAAAGGGTAAAACAACCACATGCAATCATGACATGTTTAGGTTATTTGGCAGTAAGTTAATACTTTGGCTTTAATAAGAAACATTGTTGTTTATTTTTCAATGAGAAAAATGTAATGTGATAAATAACCCAAATATTTGATGTTATTCCTGAGACTCCCTGAATATCATTTCAGAACATCAAAATATATTGAAGGGTTTTGAAAAGAGAATATACTGTACATAATATGTGATATGGTTAACACATCACTGAAGAAAAGGGTAATTCATTGCATGCATTAATTACAAAATTGTTTGCGGAAAGGATTGCATGTGTAAAATGCTGCCTGAATTTAATGAATGTTAGAGCAAAAGGAAAATAGTTGTGTTGGCCAACATACATTCAGATGTTTGCTTTCATCTTCTGCTTAGTGCAGATGTGGATAGCCTTACAGCACCTGGAGTTCAAGTATCTTTACTACTGACTAGACATATATCGATTTCACAGTAGAGACCAACAATTAGACCTTACTCAGTTTCTTCTGTTTAAAGGCGCATGAATGAAGTCACAGTTTCCTGGAAGATACCAATAACGGTAATGTGCTGTTAAGCTTCCTGTATCTTCAATATATGTCAAGCTATGTTCCCTGTGAGAAGCTTTTATGTACCCTTTTGCATGGTATGTTTCTTATTTCTGTAAACAGTACTCAGAAAATCCTCAATAAACACTTCAAACAAGAAAAAAGACCAATAACTAAACCCAAGTATTATAACTTTATCTCTAATGCACACATAAAATAAGAAAAAAAGTCAGAAAAACAATAGTGTACTCTACCAGCCTTTAACTTAACTAATCTAAAATATCTAAATTAATGTACTCTTGGTTATTGATTTGGGGCAGTGATATAGACTGTGATACTATTTCTTGTAACGTATTTCTTTTGCTTGACTGGGGAAAAATATTTCTCTTTACCATTGAAGGTGTTCTTTATGAATAGTGATACAGGGAGACAGAAAAAATCACCCTAACTACAATATAATAAAAACACAAGCTGATATTAAGCCATTTAACACGTTCTTATTAAAAACATATATTCTAGGCATTTATATATATATAAAGAAAAAAAGGATTGCTGCACTTAAAATCTTTAATGTACAAAACAAATTATATATAACAAAAGGAAAGGCATTTTTCAGGTAACGCTCTTCTTCAGATCAGAACACATGTAAGAATGAGAGCCAAAAGAATACTAAATTTATAAAAAACAAGAAATCTGGAAACAATTATTCAATTAACAACAAATTAAACAAACATATCTAAGTAATATAAACATTGCTTGAGCGAAAGATCTGTCAAGTAGAAAAGGCTTCCAAATCACAAGAGTAGAAAGCAGATATAGGGAACCTATTATTATAAAAAAAATATATATGTTCCATTCAAGCTGTCTCATAACTGAAAGTATAAATAAATACACAATATTGACAAAATAAAACAAATCAATTCCTAAAAATATCAAAGAAGTGAATAGAGGTCAAAATCAGAATTCAGGCCCTTAGGGCCTGGACTTCACCTTGTCTCAACAATAATTCTCTATTTCCACCATGTCTGTTGAGAACAGGGTGACCCTTGTCTACAAAATGTCTAGCCAGTGGTAGCTTAGTAAGTTCTTCTCTAATAGAGTACTGATGTCTAGCTATCCTGTCCTTTATCTTTTGAGTAGTCTCACCTATATGACAAGCCATGTGGACATTTTATGATCTATACCACAAATGCAACTGACAGGTATAATGGTCCTTAATAGATATATTATAACCCAAATGTGGGTGAGAGAAGGATTTTCCCTTAATCATGTTGTTACATTAAATACAATGAAGACAAGGATAATAACCAAAGTTAATGGACCTAAAAAGGTAAGAGGCAATTTAGGTGGACTGTATTGATCTGATTTTACTAGCCTGTCATATAATGTTCTCCCCTTACAGTAAGATGGCAAAGCGGGAGCCTGAATTCTGGTACAGATGGATAATTAGTACTCAAGATGGACCAGTGTTTTTTAACTATATTTAAAACCCAATTGGAATATGGGCAAAATTAGAAAAATTCAGTTGTTTTTGCTTATGTCGGGATAAGTTATCCCTTTCTCTCGTAACAAAAATTACTAGGATAACAATGTTCTGGGAGTCTGCCTTCCATCTCATCCAATCTTATATCACAAACCTGTGGGTCACTGACAGTTACAGAGTTGCGAATTAATTGGCTACGGGGAATAGATTTGAAAACCCCAGGAGGATGGAAATGAGAAAACAATAATAATTGATTGCGATCTATAGGTTCGATATACAAATCATTAACAATGTCCTCATGCTGTGTCCTGTGTCCTCTTTAAAAGAGTATCCAAAAATGGGATTTCTGTTGTACTCATCATATTTATATATATACTGCGACTACTCAAAAGGTAAAGGATAGGATATCTAGACATAATTACTCTATTAGAGACAAACTTACTAAGCTACCTCTGGCTAGACATTTTGTAGAAAAGGGTCACCCTGTTTTGCAACTTAGATTTATTGTCCTTAATGGAATACCTAAAAACAGACATGATGATAATAGAGAATTATTGTTGAGACAATGTGAAGTCAAGTGGATTGATTGCCTAGACACATTAACCACTAAGGGCTTGAATTCTGATTTTGACCTGTATTTATTTCTTTGATATCTTTAGGAATTGGTTTCTTTATTTTTGTCATTATTGTGTATTTATTTATACTTTTGGTTATGAGACAGCTTGACTGGTACATATATATGTTTTTTATAACAGGTTCCATATGTCTGCATTCTACGCTTG